ATTCAGGTCGTTAACTGTCTGAATGGTTGTTGCTTTACACCCACCTTGTGAGGTTACTAGCGTAAATCATCGTGAATTTTTCATAAAGAAAATGAACAATTTCAATTTAACGATTGTTCTTTGAAAATGATATAACTGCTCACTGAGCAATTTGCCCGCCAAAAATTACAGTGTCCGTATGTAGGAACACGCATCCCCTGGAGGCTGAATTTGAAATTTTTAAGTTGTACTTGGACAGGAAATATCACCCTAATATTTCGCTTTCAAGCTTTACTGGCCCTCGAGTTAGTAATTTTCTCGCCAAAGCTCTCACATGCCCGTGCGCAGGTACCACGCGTATCGAAGGGCCGAGTTTAAAATCTTTGAGTTGCACACGGATAAGGAAGAAACCCTTAATATTTCAGCCTTCCAATTTTTCTGGTTGTCGAGCTAGCAATTCTCCTGTCAAAACATTTACATGTCTGTACGTGAGAACCACGCACACCTAAGGGCTGAGTTTGAAATCTTTAGACCACAGATGCACAAAGAATAGCCCTGCAAAGTTTCAGGCCTTTGTCCTTTCTGGTTCCCGAAGTCGCTTTCCCGCCAAAAAACTTGCATGTTTTTTAAGGCATTCGTATGCGTTACCCAGGCGTACGCGAATGATAATATTAAGAAGAGGTTATGGGCACATACCCCGAAGTTTCAACTTTCTAGCTTCTCTGGTTCTCGAGTTGAAAGCGGATGACAAAAAGTGCGAACACACAGATACAGACACACACACATACAGCTCCTTACCAATATGCGTTTTTGCATTTGCATATATGTAAAAACGCATAAAAATGAGGAACTGCGAACCTATGGCGCAAATTTTAAATACTCCGCGACTGCTGCATGCTTCTAATTTGCTAAAACAGTGGACACGATACCTCCCAAATCAATCAATGTTCTGGCCCCCGAAACAGCACACTTCCTCACCAGCACTAAAGTGTGGTGCAAACCTCAGAAAGCAAGCGTCTACCATCATCATTCTAAATCAAAGAACCATTAGAAAAACTCAAGTCCGCATTAATGACTCGGAATCACGTAAAAACCCGCCAACTTCGGAAAGGCGCAAAAGCAGTGGATATTGTACAGGAGGATGAAGAACTGAATAGATACAGCTAAGTATGTACCTCTGAGCTCCAAATTCCAAAGAATCACGTCCCCACACATTTTTAAGCACTCTTTCATAACTAGTTCATGCAAACAAAACTCTACCATGGGATGATCATGCTTTTCCGTATATTTAGCTAACACAGCGCCCGATCGCGTGCGAGCGAAATATGAGCTGAAATCAGCTCATCTCTCTCTCCCCTCTCTCTTTCTTTCTCCCTCCCTTCCTCCCTCCCCTCCTTCCC